GGAAAGCCAAAGGAGCGTCCATAACAGGAGACCTTGAGAGACACCGAAGATGCCCCAGGGAGAGCAGGCTGGAAGGGGCCGATATGGCTACAGGCAGAGATAGGAGAAATGTCGGTCAGATGTCTTCATGCATTTCTCCACAGAGCCTGCACAGGGGCGCGCTGGGAAGACTGGGGTCCGAAATGGAGTGTGAGGGACCGGGGTGAGTGTGTGTGTGTGTGTTGGGGCAGGCCAAAGATGGGGAATTAAGTCAGGAGCAAAGGGACAGGGAGTGGCCCCCTGCCCTTGCAGGGCCTGGAACCATGAAGAATCATCCCGCCTTTGGGGACTGGGCCTCCCCAGCTGGCTTCCTGCCAGGCCTTACCCCCTGGCATCAGAAGCAAACCCCTGCCCTCCTAGAGTTTGAAAAGCGAATAGGAAAATTTCCCTGAAGTGGTGGTCATCCTCCAAGTCCAGACAGTGGAGAGCCTCTTGCCTGGTGGCCAGTGTCAGAGCAGGTGTCCTGGAGGCAAAAGCTGACCCGGCTCAGGGACAGCAAAGGGGCTGTGGCGTGTGGACCACCAACAGCAGGGACTAGCTGGGTATCTCTTGGAGTCACTCTCCCACTTTAGGGCCTAAAAGGCCCCTGGCCGTCCAGAACCTCCCCCGGAGCCTGGGCTGTGATAGCCTCCAGGCAAACCATCTTGCCAGGTGAGACTGTGGCTGTGGCCCCAGAATGTTCCAACTGGTTCCAGGAATATAGCACACCCGACCTCCTTTCCCTCGCCCCACCCTGGACACGTACCCATGAGATTGTCTCACCCCTTTGGTCCTCCCTCCATGACCTCTGCTCCTCCCTTGCCCTCCTGGATTTAGTCATCACGTAATTATTTGTTTATTTGTTCATCATAGATTTGTTGGGCACCCCCTCTGCGTCCGGCTGGGTGCTGGAGAGGCAGCCCTACAGAAGGCGGGCCGGGTCTTCCTGTCACCTGCATGATACCATCCGCATTGGAGGCCTAGTTTTCCTCTCACTTTTGTCACTCATCTGTGAAGACTAGTTGCTTCTTGCCTGCCTTTTATCTGTCCTCAGCTGGGCTCCCTTGGCCTGGCCACTCCTTGGCTCCAGCTCTAGCCTGTGAGGTCCTTCTTTTTGGCAGTGGGCCCTGCTCTCTGCTGGCCACTTCACAGACTCCACCAGGAGGACTGATCCAGCCTTCCAGTCCTCCCTTTCCAGGGTCACACTTTGCCTCCATCTCTCAGGTGGGCATGGTTCCCTGGTGATGTCCCAGCCTCTTTGAGGACCTGAATTCAAACCAGTTTACTCAGGGCACATTTGATTTGCAGTTGTGAAAATTATTTTAAAGCTCACTTGAAAAAAATAAACAAAATAATATCTAGGAAGTTTTTGAGGGGAAAAAGAGGGCCAAGAAAGAAATGTTAAACATTAACTATAAAATCAAGTTGAACCAGCCTTGCATACCTGAAATAAATCCCACTTAGTCATGGTGGATAATTCTTTTTACACATTGTTGGACTTTGTTTGCTAATCTTTTGAGTATTTTTGCATCTATATTTATGAGAGATACTGGTCTGTAGTTTTTCTGTCCTGTGTTGTCTTTCACTGGTTTTAGTATTCAGGTAATGCTGACTCGTAGAATGAGTTTGGAAGTATTTCCTCTGCTTCTATCTTCTGAAAAAGATTGTAAAGAGTTGGTGTCATTTCTTCCATAAATATTTGGTAGAATTCATCAGTGAAACCATCTAGGCCTGGTGCCTTCTGTTTTGGAAGCTTATTAACTGATTCAATGTCTTTAATAGTTATAGGCCTATTAAGATTATTTGTTTCTCAGGCCGGCCGAGTGGCGCGTTGGTTAGCAGTTGGCTTAGGATGCCAGCTCTGAGCAGTAGGGCCCCGGTTCGGATCCCACATGAGGGCCAGTAACGCTGCGCCCTCTACAGCTAAGATGATGAACAACAGCTAGACCTGGAGCTGGGCTGCTGTGAGTCGCCAGCAATGGCATAGGCTGCAGTGGGGCTGGCCAGCAGCAGGCGTGAGCTTTCATGAGCTGCGGTGAGCTGCCGTAAATGGCCATCCACTGGCTGACGAGCAACTGCCTCAGCTGAGAAGAGCGCAATTATGATGCCAACATGGGCCAGTGAAGCGACGTCCTCCACAACTAGACTGAAGAACCAAAGGACAGCAACTTGTCTGTTCTCCTTCCCTGATTCCCCAACACTGTTCCCCTCCCCCAATTCCCCAATCAAATCTTTAAAAAAAAAAAAAAAGATTATTTGTTTCTCCTTGTGGGAGTAGACTGTGTCTTTCAAGAGATTGGTCTGTTTCACCTAAGTATCAAATTTGGGGGCATGGTGTTACCATAATATTCCTTTATTAGCTTTTTAATGTCCATGGGATCAGTAATGATTCCCCCTATTTCATTTCTTTCTGGCATTAGTAATTTGTGTTTCTCCCTTTTTTCTTGATTAGCCTGACTAGAGGTTATCAATTTTGTTGATCTTTTCAAAGAACCAACTTTTGATTTCCTTGATTTTTCTCTATTAATTATTTCCTGTCTTCGATTTCATTGATTTCTGTTCTAAGTTTTATTGTTTCTTTTCTTCTGCCAATTTTGCATTTAATTTTCTTTTTCTAGTTTCCTAAGATAGGAGCTTAGATTACTCACTTTAGATCTTTTTTCCCCCTAATGTATGCATTCACTCTAGAAATTTCCCTCTAAGCACTGTTTTCACTGCACCCCACAAATATTCATTAGTTGTGTTTTCCTTTTCATTTAGTTCAAAATTAAACATGAAATGCCATTTTTCATCTATCAGATTGGCAAAAACGTTAAAGTTTGATAATATATAGTATGGGTTAAGGTGTGGGAAAATAGGCACATTTGTACTTTAGTATTTGGAAATATAGATTAGTTCAACCATTTTGGATAGTAATTTGTACATATCTATAAAACTTTTAAAGGTATATACATTTTAATTTAGTAATGTATAGATGTCTGTACAGGAGTGATCATGCACAAGCCATCTATGTATATGGAGTAGAGTTTCCAAACCAAAAACCTGGGAACAACCCAACCGTCCATTAATAGAGGACTGCTTGAATATATCTATTCAATGAATGTCTATGCAGAGAATGGAGTATGTCTAATACTAATATTGAAAGATAATTAAGGCATACTGTTAAGTGAATATGCAGGCTACCGAAAAATGTGTTTAATGAGATAGCATTTGTGTTCTTTTTTTTTTTAAAAAAAGAGTTTATTCTATGCTTGATTCGTATGAACACATCTGGAAAGACATCATTGTGGTTCCTTCTGGGACAGAGGTGCTTGAAGGTCAAGGAAGAACAGGGCACCTTTTGTTTTCACCACGTACCTTCTTCACCGTTTGAATGGGAAACATTTAATGTGAAAAATAGTTTTAAAACCAAATTGCAGATTTGAACCCACAGGTGGCTGAAAGCACACTAAACATTTCCTTTGCTCTCTCTTCCTTGTAAGAAAGCATGCAATCGACTGCTCACTCCTGGGCTTTGCACACCCTGGTCCTTTTTCTCATTTTATATCTAAGAGGATTTAAAACAACAAAAAACTCTTGACCACTCTGCCAGATGGCACTGTTGATGGCTGGTGGTTTCAATATGAGGAAAAAAGACTATTTTTGATCATTACAGAAAAAAGTAAAATTTGTTTTCTGAGAAGTGTTTTAACAGAAAGGTCATTTAAACTCACCATCTTTAGAAACTAGAGAAACTGAACATCCCTCGTACTCTACTACTTACTATTTTAGTGTTTTGTGCAGTTTCCCTGAAAAAAAAATTTTTTTTCAATGCATCTATCATATTTTATTTAAATGGCTGTAATCCCAGAGAATATACACTATTGTGGTTGTTTATGTCGTAGCGTCCACATTTTCAGATGGCTACAAAGCCAGGAAACATTAATTTGGAGGAACGTTACACTTGATTCCTCAGAAAGAACACAAAATCTGGAATTAGGACCTTACCAATGAACACGCTGCTTGGGTAGGGGGAGCTCTTCCTCCCTCCCTCCCTCCCTCTGGAAAGAGGAAGGCAGTGGGGGACTTGGCTATGATTGGCACCTTTGTGTTCTGCACAAGACTGTGAAGGAAAATCAAGGTTTCCGAGGCTGCAGCTGAAACACCACTTGCTTCTTGTGCTAAAGCAGCTTGTGTTGAGTATAATTGGGGAACTACAGCTTTTACATTCAATGTCTACTTGGCAACACATGCTTGACATTGGGTTGAGAATAATTGAAACATCTTTTCATTCTATTTCATTCTACCTTTTCCTAGATATGGTTGTCATAAACATAACCTGCTTTTCACAATGGATTTTCTTGAAAATCAGATTGGCAGCTTTGCATAGCAACAAACAAAACGCCTGAGCTACCCAGCATGGGGGGAACAGGGGGTGCGGAGGAGAGCCCTCTCCCAGCCAGCTGTGTTGACTTAGTGCAGCTGACCTCTCCGAGCCCGAGCTTCCTCATCCGCAGAAGGGAGGCAACAGCTGTGCCCAAAGTTTATTGTGAGGATTAGACAAGATAACAAGTGAGGATGGTGTTTGTAGCAGAGATGGGCAAACAGAAGGCTTTCAATACGTGGCAGCTGGCTACCAAATTAAGCTTAGTGAAGGAGATTTGAGAAAATACAAAAAAGCACACACATATATAGTTCGTTTACAAAAATGCAATGATATTGTACAAAGTTCAAAGTATTTGTTCACAATCAGAGAGGATTCCCTTCCTAAGACCTATACAGCAAGATGTCGTCAATATTTTTCTTGAGCATCTGCTATGGGCTAGGTGCTGTTCAGAGAGGTTAAGTGTTGCGTGAAGCTCGCCGGGCTGGCCCACAACAGCCCCACTTCCCAGCCACACCCAAGATGGCTACCTTCTCCAGCCAGTCACTGGGCTCCGCGCAGGAGCACTTCCGCCTGCCTCTCCCAACATGGCACCACCCTCGCGCTGTGGGGCGGGGCCAAGGGCGGAAGTGGGTGTGGTAGGGACGGCAGCCGAGAGGGCACGCACGCTGAGACAAAATACTGGAAGTGGGAGCCTCGGGGTCGAAGGGATGATTCCCCCGCAGGAGGCGTCCGCCCGGCGGCGGGAGATCGAGGACAAGCTGAAGCAGGTGGGACTGGGGCTGGTGCTGGGGAGGCGGAGGAGGAGGTGAGGGAAGGGGCCGAGACCCGGGCCGGGGCATATACTTAGGGAGGAGGCAGGGGTGGGTGGGAGCGCTCCCTGCAAGGAGATGGGTTTGGGGGCGAGACCGCGGTGACGGCTTCTGGTAATAGCCTCCCCTCCGCTTCCCCAGGAGGAGGAGACGCTGTCCTTCATCCGAGACAGCCTGGAGAAGAGCGACCAGCTCACCAAGAACATGGTGAGGAACCCCTCAGCTAGGAAGGGCGGACAGGCCTCCAGACCTTGGAGGAGAGCCCTGCGACTTGCGGTTCGGTCTGTGAGGCCTGAGGTTCTGGCCCGGCTGGTGAGGGTGGTGATATGTGCGTTTCTCTAGCAACAGTGTGGCTTGTCTCTTACTTAGCTCCCTTCCCCTTCCCCGCCGCTTCACTGAGGATGCTGCGGCCCCCCGCTGGCCTGGACTTGGCTGCTTTCTGTCCAAGGTCTCCAGTCTTCCTTCGGTCCTTCTGCAAACATTTAGTGAGCTGGGTGGGTGGGCTGGGTACTGGTCATGTGTCAATCCTCAATTCAAGTGACAGTGGGTGGGCAGGGTTAGTTAGCACTTCCAGGATTACTGAGGGCAGGGAAGACTCAGCCGTCACGCCCAGACAGCGTTAGGGGTAGAACAAGCTTTGAAGGCAGACAGACCCAGGATCTAGTCCTCGCCCTCCACTTATTTGTGTGTGGCTCCTGACAGGTCACCCTGAACCTCAGTTAACTCACCTGATAAGACTGACAATGTGAACCTCCCCGTGTGGCTGTGAAGGTCATGGGAGCTAATGCGTGGGGACACATCTTGCACAGTACCTGGCATACAATAGGTGCTCAACAAATAGGAGTTCCCTTCCGTATTTTTAGAGGAGACTGGAAAAGCACAAATTGAGTAAATACAAAAACTTGGGTGTGTATATAGCAACAGAATCGTAAAGTCCTACTCCTTATTTAATGACATTCACCCTTAGAGAGACGGTTTTGAAGGTGCCAGCAATGCATTTGAGCCCCTTTATATGAAATTACTTCCCGCTCAGTCTGGGAAAGCTTCAGAGAGAACAGACATTGAGATTCGGCTTCCAGTGGTGGAAGGGCAGCCACCCTGGGGTGATAATCTTAGGAGGAGCTAATTTGATGTTTGGTTTGCCTTCAAATCAAACTTCATCCAATTTATTTGAACCACCTCCGATGGGCACACAGTAGGTGCGGAGGATACAGAGATGAACAGATACCCCTTCCCTCATGGAGCTGATTGTCTAGAAAACCAGAGACAAAGGCAGCAAATGCCAAGACCTGATGAGCGGGCCGAAGCAATGCTGGGACCACCCTGGGGTCTGAGCGCGCGGGGCTTCCCCCGCAGGTGTCTATCCTGTCATCCTTTGAGAGCCGCCTGATGAAGCTGGAGAACGCCATCATCCCTGTTCACAAGCAGACAGAGAACCTGCAGCGGCTGCAGGAGAATGTTGAGAAGACTCTGTCCTGCCTGGACCACGTCATCAGCTACTACCACGTGGCCAGTGACACCGAGAAGATCATCAGGGAGGGGTGAGCTAGCGCGAGGGGGTCACGTTCCTAACGCCTCCTGGGTGGACCAGCGGCCCTAGGCCTGAAAGGGAGGGGTGGACTATATTTGAGCTTGGAGTCCTCTGTTAGCTCTCTTCTTTTCCCTTCCTGTTATCATTCCCTTGGTCCTTCTCTTCGTCTTCCATCCACCCAGGCTGATCTGCCTCTTCTCCTTCCCAGCCCCACAGGTAGGCTGGAAGAATACCTGGGAAGTATGGCCAAGATTCAGAAGGCTGTGGAATATTTCCAGGACAATAGCCCAGACAGCCCAGAGCTCAACAAAGTGGTAAGGGGCCAGCAGGGTAATATGAGAGTGTTGGGGACACCAGTCCCTGCCCTGGTCTCATGAGAGACTGAGCCAGCTTTGAAGAGGCTATAGTAGCATAAACAACTATATACCGTGTTTCCCCGAAAATAAGACCTAGCCGGAGAAGAAGCCCCAGCATGATTCCTCCAGGATATGGAGGGCACGCACCCCTCACATGAGGGTGTTATGACCTGTTTCAGGGAGAAGGGTGCCTTTTTTTTTTTTTACTTGGGGTATTGGGGGATGGGAACAGTGCTGGGGAATTGGGGGAAGGGGAACAGACAAGTTGCTGTCCTTTTGTTCTTCAGTCTAGTTGTGGAGGACGTTGATTCACTGGCCCAAGTTGGCACCATCATTGCGCTCTTCCCGGGCGAGGCAGATCAGTCGCTGGCTTCTGGACGGTCACTCACTGCGGCTGCTGGCCGCTCACGCTGGCTGCTGGCTACATACGGTAGCCCATGGCAACCCACTGCACAGGGGCTGCAGCCTATGCCGTCGCCGGCGACTCACAGCAGCCCAGCTCCAGGTTGAGCTGTTCAGCATCTTAGCTGTGGAGGGCAGTGTCACTGGCCCTCATATGTGGGATCCGAACCGGGGCCCTCTGGCGTCCCAAGCCCGCTCTTAACCATCGCGCCACTCGGCCGGCCAAAAGGGTGCCTTTTCCACAAACTCCTTCAGCTTAAAATATTCAGTATGCCAAGGTGCCATATTTTAGCACCAAAAATCATGTGAGGGCTTATTTTCTGGCTAGATCTTATTTTTGGGGAAACAGAGTAATACAGTTCACATACTGTAGTCACGAAGGCCTCTGCCTCAGGAATGACATAATATGTTTTGTTTTACATTTGTATAATTTAACTAAATTATAAATTACACGTAAAATATAAATTTAACATTTGATTTTTATAAATGCATTTGTGGTGGTTTTTACTATGGTAAAAAATACATAATATAAAATTTATAATTTTAACCAAATTTCTAAATTTATTTTTAATTACAGTTGATAAACAATATATTAATTTCAGGTGTACAACATAGTGATTAGACATTTATATAACTTATGAAATGATCCCCCCAATTAGCCTAGTACCCATCTGATACTATACATACTTATTACAATATTATTGACTATATTCCCTATGCTGTACTTTACATTTCTATGACTAACTTAATAACTGGCAATTTGTACTTCTTAATCCCTTTCACCTTATTCACCCATCCCCCCAACACCTCTCCTATCTGACTACTGCCAATTTGTTCGCTGTATCTATGAGTTTCTTTCTGTTTTTTTATTTTGTCTTTTAGATTCCATGTATAAGTGAAATCATATGTTATTTCTCTTTCTCTGTCTGATTTATTTCACTTTGCATAATACTCTCTAAGTGCATTCATATTTTAACCATTTCTAAGTGAACAGTTCAGTGGTGTGAAGTACTTTCACATGGTTGTGCTGCCATCGCCACCATCCATCTTCAGAACCCTTTTCTTCATCCCAAACTCAAACTCTTATCCATTAAACAATAACTCCCCTTTTTCCTCTGCCTCCAGCCCCTGGCAACCATTATTCTACTTCCTGCCTCTAGGAATTTGACTTTTCTGGGAACCTGAATTCATGTTTTTACATTTGACTTTTGCATTTTATCTTTGTGTGTAAGTATTGGGGACATTAGGTCACTAGAAAAAGATGGGGTAAGGCTGAGAAGTGAAGTTTACCCAGTGCATTAAGGAAAGGAGAGAATGCCGCCAGGAAAAACGGTGGGAACAAAGGGTGGGGAATATTAGGGGAAGGACCAACTTGGACCCAGTCACCTGGTGCACCTGCCCTGTGGCACCTCAGCTCTAACCCTAAGGTGTCTTGCCCAGAAGAGGGAGTAGACTGAAGAACAAAGATAGGAACTTGGCTTTTCTTCCACCCAGGAAGCTTTTGCTTCAAGTTGCACTTCCCATCTTTTCTTCCATCTTGGTCTCTGTCAGAATTGAGGATATTTGTACGTTTCTGGCTGCTCACAGCCCCACCTGGCTACCTGGGGACTGCCAGGATCGATATCGTAGCACACCACTATAACCAGTATACTGCAGTTCATGGGTGGGGGCCTGGTCTCAGAGAATGGGATGTCAGGGGTGGGGCTGAAGAACTTTGTTTTTAGGGGTCGCTCCCCAGTTTGGATCACAAAGTGAAGAGCTCTGTGCTAGAACTTGGATGTGGGAGTGGGGTAGAGAAGGAGAATACAAAAGATATAAAAGTATAGGTTTACCTTATAGGACTTACTTTTTATGTAAGCAGAAACATCCCAACTCCTCCCCCCACCCTCTCTCTAACATCCTTATTGAGATATAATTCACATACAATAAAATTCACCCAAAGTATGAAATTCGCTGGTTTTAGTATAATCACAAAATTGTACAGCATCATGAGAATCAATTTTAGAACATTTTCATCACTTGAAAAAGAAACCCGAACCCACTGGCAGTCACGCTGCTTCCCTCCCCTCCCTGTTCACCCAGGGACTCCGTAATCACTAGTCCATTTTCTGTCTCTCTAGATGGGCCTGCTCTGGACCTCTCATATAAACGGAATCAGACAATATGTGACCTTTTGCGTCTGGCTCCTGTCACTTAGCATAATGTTTACAAGGTTCATCCACATCGTAGCAGGTGTCAGTGCTTCATACCTTTGTGTTGCCAAATAGTATTGCATTGTGTGGCTAGATCACATTTTACTTATCCGTTCGTCACTTGATGGGCACTCCATTTTTTGGCTATTATGAAAAATGGTGCTATGAACCCTCAGTGTACACACTTTTGTGTGGACACGTGTTTTCAATTCTCTTATAAATGTTCTTGATACCTGACCCTTATAAGATATGTGATTTGCAAATATTTTCTCTCATTCTGCAGGTTCTCTTTTCTCTTATTCTGTGGGTTGTCCTTTTGATGGTATCATTTGCAGCACAAAAGATTTTAATGTGACATAGTCCAAAGTTCCAAAGTACCTATTCCTTTTTTTTGCAATCCCACTTCTCACAAGAAGACATTAATAGTGCAGTGAGAAAATAATCAGCCAATATTTATAAAGCACCTGCTTCTTACAAAACCCTAGGTTTGGGGCTCAGTTGGTGAAGAGCTCACTCAAGAGTGCGAGCGCTGAACAACAGGGTCGCCGGTTCAATTCCCGGCCCGGGCTGAGCTGCCACTGAGCTGCCAACAGGTGGCAGGATGGCTCAGCTAAAAAAAAACAAAAAACCCTAGGTTTTACCTGTGAACATACAGTTTGAGAGAACATGAGGTAAAGAAATAATGAAGGAGGGCTTCCTGGCATTTCTTTTTTTTTTTTTTTTAAGTTTGTAGCGGAGGATAGTTTTATTAGAGCAGAAAGTTATAGCTCTTGAAATGAGAGGAGGTCCGGACTGGGATGCCCCTTCCTGGCACTTCTCTGGATTAAAGGACATGAAGGCAGAGGGGGCGAAAGGGAAGGGCTAGCTGAATGCAGAAGCAGCAGCAGACCCTCCCTCACTCACTCACTCCCCCCTTCCCCCTCCCCCCTTCCCCCTGCTCTTCCTGCAGAAGCTGCTGTTTGAGCGGGGGAAGGAATCTCTGGAGTCTGAGTTCCGCAGCCTGATGACCCGGCACAGTAAGGTCGTGTCCCCTGTGCTCATCCTGGATCTGATCAGTGGCGAGGACGAGCTGGAGGTCCCAGAGGAGGTGCCCCTGGAGCACCTGCCCGAGGGCGTGCTTCTGGATGTGGTCCGCATCTCCCGCTGGCTGGTGGACTACGGCCACAACCAAGGTGGGAGGGCTCGGGAGGGCCCCAGGGCAAAGCCCAGAGAGAGGGACATTTTCCCTTTATTTCATTAACCCACCTGGGTGCTGGTTTTTTTCTTGGTTTTTAAAATTTTTTTTATTGGGGAACAGTGTGTTTTTCCAGGACCCATTAGCTCCAAGTCAAATAGTTGTTTCAATCTAGTTGTGGAGGGCACATCTCAGTTGCCCATGCGAGGATCAAACTGGCAACCTTGGTGTTATGAGCACTGCGCTCTAACCAACTGAGCTAATGCTGTTTTTTTTTTATTTATTTAATAAAAAGCTTAGTAGGAGACAATTGCAATAAATGTACAGCTGATGTACAAATTGTGAAACAAGCCAAACCCAAGCTTTTCTTTATATACCTTACGGTTCTGTGGGGTTTTTAAATTTTTATTGTTAATTATAAAACTTTCAAAGAGTATAGAAAGCCTTAGGTGAAAAGCAAAAGTCCATCTCCTCATTTCCTGGATACCTACAATGTTATAACCCAAAGATAAATACTGTTCAGGTTTGTTTATACCCTTCCAAAAAATACTTCTGCAGCTAAGAGTGTGTGAGAGAGAGAAGAAATGGGTGTGTGTCCTATCCTCATTCCCACATGGAGAGAAGCATACAAAACACCTCCTCTAAGTGTTTTGTTTTTAGCTTGTGATAGGCCTTGAGATTGTTCCATGTCAGTCCATGCATTTTTGCTTCGTTCTTTTTAATAGCTGTATACTACTCCATGGCATGGGGGTACCAGCATTGCTTTAGCCAGTCCTAGGATTAAAAATAAAAAAATCTCGGAGCCAGCCGAGTGGCTCAGTTGGTTAAGAGTTGGCTTAAGAGCACGAGCTCTGAGCAACAGGGCTGCCAGTTTGATTCCCACATGGGCCAGTGACACTGTGCCTGAGCTGAGCTGTTGCTGAGCTGCCAACAGGTGGCAGGATGGCTCAGCTGGTGTAACAACAAGATTGCCTGTTCAATGGTGGGCTATGCCCACCCGCAACTAAGACTGAACTTGACACCTTGAGTTGAGCTGCCGCCCGGATGGCTCAGTGGATAGAGTGTGCACTCAACAAGGCTGCTGGTTTGACTCCCGCATGGGATGGTGGCTACGCCCATCCTCAACTAAGATTGAACACAGCACCTTGAGCTTAGAGGCCATAGGCTGCCGATGGGCAGCCAGATGGCGACTGGCACCCTCCACAACGAAGATTGAAGAACAAAAACTTGGCTGGTCCCCTTCCCCAATTCCCCAACACTGTTCCCCTCCCTCAATTCCCCAAAAAAATCTTAGAAAAAAAAATCTAAAAATCTTGAATTAAGCAAAAATTTTGGAAAACAAAAATTCCCATGCCTATTCGAGCCCAAGCTTTTTGGCCCTCTACACTCTTCTGTCTGTTAATGTGGCCACATAGCAACCTGTCAGTGTAAGTTCCCATTATCCCCGCCATCCCTCAAGGACTGGTGACAGGTCTCAGGGCCACCATGTATTGACCAGACGAGCATGTCGTGGCTCATGTGCTGTGCTTGGGGGAGCCCGGAGATTTTTAGGGGCTCCACTGGGATGAGAGGGAGGCCAGTGGACAGCATCCAGACCCCTCAGTGCCCTTCTGTCAGAGTCTCTGGACATTGGTCCACTTTCTACATTTAGGTTTCTTGCGATTTACTGTTGGGAACGGCTGAAATGCACCACAGTGTCTGTATCATTTGCATTTTTGGATTTTCCCATTTTTTTAGTACTTGTAAATAGTGCTGCACTGAGCATGCTTGTGTGAATTGCTTTTCTTATTTCGGGAGTTCTTTGTAGTATTTTCTCAATGGCCAATTATCAGGTAGATTTGTCCGAACAGATCAGTAAACGTCCTTGCGATTGGGAGTGCCTGTCCAGGTAGATGGGCCAGTTGATAGCCCCGTGGACAGCCCTGTGGCTGTTTGTTCTTCATCAGTATTCTTTATCTATTTGATGAGGCTGTCACAGTCCTCTGGTTTTATTTTTTAATTTGCACGTTGTGAATGGCTGAGGATATGGTGTGTTTTCATTCACTGACATTTGTGTCTCTTTGCCTCCTATAAATTGCCTGTCTCCTTTGACACCTTACCAAGCTGAATCTGGATATTAGCTTTATATTTTTTATCTTAAAAAAAACCAAAACCTTATCTTCAAAACTCACAACTAAGTGTCAGTTCTATCGGGGGATATTCTCCCTTTTAAGACTTTGCCTGATTCAGGAAGAGGCCATTCAAGTGGGTGGCTGCGAACCAAAACTGATGCTTGCAAGGGTCTAGCAAAGAGAAGTGGGTGGTCTCCAGGGCTGGTCAAGAGGGGAAAGGGCGGTTCTCATGGCAAGACTGGCAGGGACCCTGGCTGCCACAGCTGCCACCCATCTCTCCCCAGATTTCATGAACGTCTACTACCAGATCCGCTCCAGCCAGTTGGACCGCTCCCTCAAGGGCCTGAAGGAGCATTTCCGGAAGAGCAGCTCTTCCTCGGGGGTTCCCTACTCCCCTGCTATCCCCAACAAGAGGAAGGACACACCCACCAAGAAGCCCATCAAGCGGCCAGGTGAGTCCCCGTCGCAGAAGGCTGCAGGACCTGGATTACTTTCGGCCACCCTGCAGTTAGCAGCTTCGGTCCTTTCAGAGCTTGTCCTCACAGCCACCCCCAACTGCAGGAACAAAGCACAGAAAGCCAGTGTCCGCCCACCCAGCAAGGCCCCCATCAAGTGAGGCTCTTCCTTCTGCTCAGCAGAGCCTGGGGGTTACATAAATGCCTTTGGAGTGGGCAGGGGGTCACGGAAGTGGAGAGGCAGGGTTTCGGGGTTGCCAGAGCAAAGCCACTTGCTGGGCCCCCTTCCCCTCCCTCGTGGTTCTGTCAGGAGGCCAGGCACGTTGCTGCAGATAAGACCATGGAATGGGACGGGGACAGGCATTACAGCCTTCACCCTCCAGAAAGCCAGGGTGGCTTGAAGTGACACATACTGAGAAGTGGATGGGGGGACTTTCACAGTCAATCCAGAAAGGAAAAAAACTCCCGGCCCGTACCTCTGAAGAGCCTAATCTGGCTTTCAGGCTGCACTGTGAGTCAGTGCCTGTGTGTCAGCTGCCACTTGGCCAGCCTGGCTGTCTCTGGTTGCCAAGAAATGTTGCTCAAGGAGAGGCTGGGATGCTCTGGGCGACGGGCTGCCACAGGCACGTGCCCCAGCGTGGCCTGTGAGACATGCTCCTTGTGGCAGCGGGCTCTGTGGAGAGCTTACCCTTCATTTGCCCAGTCCCTCCCACCCTGCCTGCCCATGCCCCTTGGAGGGCAGGGTGTGTGTTCGCACTGACAAAAGCATCTGCGCCTCTGCAGCCTTCGTCAGGGTTTGAAGAAATGGCAGAGCAGAGGCTGCCCTTGGACACAGGAGAGCAGAGCATTAGGAAAGCTGGCGGCCCTAGAAGGAAGCGCACTGCCTTGTCCCCTGCAGTATGGACACCCTGGCCACTCTCCCAGCAAACCTGCCGCAAACAGTAGCTCCACTAAGCCAGCCTCCTGGGCTGTGGCTGCACGCGGGCCAGTTGCCTCTGTGCCTTTGTGTGTTGGGCAGGGGCTGTTCTCTGGGCGGCCGCCTGGGCCTTGGCCAGTCTGTGCTCACTTCCCCATGTCTTCTCTGGTGGGACCCTGGAGCCTGCAGTACCCAGTGTTGCTCTGTCCCAAGAGTGCTTGCTGGCCATGCCGGGGATGAGGCCTTCTGAGAGGGGGGACCTGATCTCAGGGCTCACAGTGGACCTAATCGGTCTTTGGCTTGTAGACCCCAGAGGAAAACTGGCTGGGAGGGTCCCCGTGGTTTCTGTGGGGTTTCAAGAGTTGTCAGGAGCTGGTGAGCTCAGGACCAATGTCGGGAACTAGGGGATCAGGCCTGGGGACATCAGTTCCTGGCTCTGGGAAGAGGAGCAGGGGGCCTCGGTTGGTAATGAAGCATCCACCTCAGGGTAGTCTGTGGTAATTGGGCGCCTGATGGCTGTGGTGGCTGCCAGATCAGCAGCCCCGATCCCCATCCATGCCAGTAAGCTGGCTGGACTCCTGAAAGTCCGGTGGGCTCACCTGCTTCCAGTCCGAAGCGCTCATTAGTGGGCCGCTCACCGAACACAGGGAGACAGATGCTGAGCTGGGGCCTTGAACTTGGTTCTTAGTAGCTAATTGTGGTGTGGTGCGAACAGAAAGAAATGAGCCCCTTCAGACCCTGTCTCTTTTCACCCCAGCCTTTAGTGGGGTGCGTCAGGACCCAAGCAGCCTCACTGTGTTCAGAGATTCAGTGGACAGGGTCCCTGGGGGTCTCCAAGGAAGAAGGACCAGGGTTACGCTCATAGGCACTTCCCTTCCCCACTTTTAATTAACAAGGCAGCCAGCTGTACTCACCTATTGGAAACGCTGTTTTATTTCCCGACATTTTCTGCCCTGAGGTGTCTCATTCCCCCAGAGGTGGCTGACCCTGGAGGCTGGGGGCGCTGCAGTTTTGTTTGCATTGTTTTCACTTGTGATACTAACTGTTGTTTTTTTCCCCCATGCCAAGAGCATGTACCTTTTCCTACCGCCTTCTGCGGGGTGACTTCTGTTAACCTCTCTCAGCTTTTGAGTTTTTTTCCAATTGCTTCGGTGGTGGTGGTTCGGTGGTTCGGGTAACTTTGGTGCATGGGGCCAGGCTGCCTCTGGGTCTCCAAGCCTTCCATCTTGGGCACTGCTCTCGCAGGAAGTGCCTTCCCCTCACCAACTCCCAGGTGCTGCTTTCCATTGACTACTGTTTGGCTGAGTCCCAGCACTGAGCATGCCCAAGAACTCAGCCTGGCGTTGGGGGCAGGGTGCAGGCCTCCTGGCTTTGAGGTTCCCAGGCTCTGCAACCTGGCCGTACACTTGGGGTATGAGAGCTCCGTCACCAGCTGCTCCAGCCCTCACCTGTTCTGATTTCAGTGCCGCGCAGTTGTGCTTTATATTTGGGCGTCTGCTGGTGGGTTATGGCCACTTCACCTCCTTCACCCTCTGCACTTCCTAAAATGAGCTCAGATCCAGAACAATGAGGGTCTGTAGCAGAATCAGGAGGTCCGTTTGGAAAGCGAGATGTGCCCGTCTGTCATCTCCGTCTGCAGGGTCTCCAGGGGTCCTGGGGAAGGGCCTGCTGGGAGAGATGGTACTGGGCATGCTCACTGTTGGGGAGGGCCGGGTGTGGGGCCAGCGGGCAGGTGGAGGGCCGCTGCTGTTTTCTCTCACTCGTTTCCTAGGTCTTCTTATCTCCTCTCTGTGTGGCTCTGGTGACAGGGACGATCCGGAAGGCTCAGAACCTTCTGAAACAGTATTCCCAGCATGGTCTAGATGGGAAAAAGGGGGGCTCTAACCTCATTCCTCTGGAAGGTAATCACCCCGTGTTCCTCTCCTGTTCCCTCCTCCTCCAACCGTGTGTTCACTCACGTGGCAGGGCAGAGCCTCCAACCCCCCAGGAGGGCCTTGGGAGAGACCCTGAGAAGGGAGCAGGGTGGGAACTGCAAGGCCCTGGGCCGCCCGCTCCCGCTGGCGCTGACAGGCCTCGTGGCCCTCGGCCTGGTCCTGTCTGGCTGACGGCAGCTCTGCCCTCCCGGAGGCTCCCCACTCCCTCCCCTCCCTGTCTCTGTCCTTGTCTCCTGTTTGAACTCAGAGCAAGTTCTTTGTCATGGGCAGCCCTTTCACGCTTAGACCAGCAGTCTAGGACCAAGCTGGCCTCGGCCTCCTGGCCACCCCCTCCGCCCCGAACGTTAGAAAGGGGAGCGTGTGCAGCAAGGGGACGGGCAGTCAGAGGAAGGACAGCCCCCCCCCCCGGTGGACCTGACCCTCCTTTAAAAGTATGATGCTAGGGGACTAAAGAAGGCTGTCCCCGTCCACTCTGCAGGGACATTTCTCTAACTGGGTCTCTCCCCATGTATGGCACGATCACCCCCAGGGCCGAGCATCAGCCCTTCCGCAGCTTCCAGCAGCATCTCAACCCTCCTTGACCCTCACCGCTTTCTCTTGGCCTCCGGGCCCACGGGTGTGGCCCAGGGCACTGCAAGTCAGGCTTGAAACGGCTGTTCCCAAGGTGGTCTGAGGCAGAGGAGGGGCTCAGAGCTGCCTCCAATGCCCCTGCCCCAAAACCCCACCTCACACCCCCTCCTGGAGATCAAGGGCTTCTTCCCAGTCCCCTGAGGGGCAGCCCACCAGACCCCTGGATAAACGCTGCTTGTATTTGTGCGGCCGACATCTCGCTAGGTCACGAGCATGATTTCCGAGTTAAGCACCTGTCCGAGGCCCTGAACGACAAGCACGGGCCGCTGGCCGGTGAGTACCGCAGCCCAGCCCGAGGGCCTTCACAGTTGTCACTGGAGGGCCTGGCCCAGCCTGGCCCAGCCGGCCGCTCTGCTCCGAGGATGGGCCAGGCCTCCTCGCCTCTCTCTCTCCAATCTCTCTTGGGCACTAGGTCTCCTTGCCTCTCTCCAGATGGGAGTGCACGGCTGGCTTTCAGGGCCTGGGCCAAGGGGGAGAAGTTGCTGCTACTTGGAAGGCAGGCAGAGAGGGAAGGCGGCTCCCTGGAGGGCAGGGAGCCCAACACCTGACTCCAGCTGCAGCTGCAAAGCTCTGACTCCTGGGAGCCCATCCCGTGGCGCACAGGACTAGGCTGCCTGCCCCAGCCTCTGGTAGTGGGATCCAGTCTCCTCCTGGGGCAGCCGACAACCAAGGAGCCTTCCCTCTCTGGGGCTCACATTCCCTCTTCTTAGATTTTGACCTCATGCCAGCTCGCCTCCTAGGCCGTAGCCCACTGCCTTCCTGTGTGTTCCAGAAGGCGTCAGACCAGCAGTGTCTGTAACTGCCTTCACAGGCCCAACATGTTCTGAGATGGATGACCATGGTGCCTGCCTCCCTCCTTGAGGTGGACACTGCTATCTGCCCGTCCCTGGCTGCCCTCTTTGCAGCATAATTCAAAACCCGTACCCTCTTTGCAGCATAATTCAGAACCCGTAATCCGGGGGGTCAGACATACCCTATGCAGGAACTCGATTCTGGGATCTTCCCTCCTTGTCCTTGTATCCATCCCCCCCATCGCCTCCAATACCTGTCCATGGCAGAGCTGAAAGAGAAGCCAGGAGAAAGGCTGGACTCAGCCTGTTTTCCCCTTGAACCCGGCCGGGCCTGCTGGAGTCCTCAGCTTTCTGCCAGAACAGTCTTCCTTCTCCCCATCTGCTGCCAGCCTGGGCCACAGGCCAGGAGCTGGGGAGACCCACGCCCCCACAGCAGGGAGAGGGCTGCCCCCAGACCAGCAGTTCAGTGCCACTGCTGTCCCCCCAGGGAGAGATGACATGCTGGACGTGGAGACCGATGCCTACATTCACTGTGTCAGTGCCTTCGTCAAGCTGGCCCAGAGCGAGTACCAGCTGCTGACAGAAGTCATCCCTGAGCATCATCAGAAAAAGACCTTTGATTCCCTGATACAGGTCCTGCCCCGCCCCTGGGCCCTGCCCCGCCCCGCCCCTGGGCCCTGCCCAGGTGTCACTGCAGAAGCTCCAGGCCTGTGGTCTGTTGCCCTCAGATACAGGCACCACTTCCACCTGGCATCCTGGGTGGTGCGACCTAGTTGGCACCTTCCGCCTCTCTATCGGAAGCATACTGGCTGCCCCCGTGCCCCTCCAGGTGCCCCCTGGGGAACCAGCTCCCAGCCCTCTGTCCCCACCCTGAGCTGTGTCCTTGTCCCTCGCAGGATGCACTGGACGGGCTGATGCTCGAGGGGGAGAACATCGTGTCTGCTGCGCGGAAGGCCATCGTCAGACACGACTTCTCCGCGGTGCTCGCTGTGTTCCCCATCCTGCGGCACCTCAAGCAGACCAAGCCTGAGTTTGACCAGGTGCTCCAGGTATGTGGGATGAAGGCCCTTGGGGCCAGGGGGAGCCCTGCGTGGCCTCCCAGGAGAGCCACTTCCTCTGTCCCCACACCTCTGCTGAGGGTGAATGGAAGCAGCTCACAGGTTTTGTGAATGACGAGGGGCGGGAGCAGCTGGGAGCAGGCCGGGCTGCAGGCACAGCCTCTGGCTGAGCACAGTGGCCGGGGCCCTGGCCTGCTGTGCAGCCACGTGCTTCCTCAGGGAACGGCCGCCAGCACCAAGAACAAGCTGCCCAGCCTCATCACCTCCATGGAGACTGTTGGAGCCAAAGCGCTGGAGGACTTTGCCGACAACATCAAGGTGATCCCCTCCTTCCATTGCTGCGGCCGGCTTGCAGGGCTGTGGGCAGGGCCCCCGTGACCTGGCTCGGAAACGCCTTTGGAGAGCAGGCCTCGCTGGTCTCCTGTCAGCACCCACTGCCTCCCTTTCTTTCCCAGGGGCCCCAGTGGTCAAGCTCCTGCCCCAGGCTCCCTGGCATGCCGGTGGTCTTGCTCTCCTTTGTGCCTGAGAGGCGTCCTGGCAGCTGTCTGCCAGGAGGTGGCGCCATGAGCAGGCCCATGGGCATGGGGTGGGCCCCGGGGCCTCCTTGGGAGCTGTTTTAGGGAGTCGGGGTGTTGTTTCCACAGAATGACCCCGACAAGGAATACAACATGCCCAAGGATGGCACTGTGCACGAGCTCACAAGCAACGTAGGTGCTGCCCAAGGTCACCTGGGGAGGGGAGGGGCCAGTCTGGCCCAGATCCGCCCTGCCTTCACCACTGGTGGCTAATGGCGGGAGGGACATGAAGCGCTCAGCAGACGGGCCTTTACCTGCAGGCCAACCCAAAGTGTGACATGTGAAGTTTGCAGCCACCCTTTTCACTGGGCAGAGCCCTGGCCCTGCCCTTGCCCTGGAATGGTCACGGGGTGCTTTGTGGGAGGCGATCTGACCCCTGGGTCCTGCCCTCGACCTTCTTCCTGGACCTGTTTTCTCTCCCGTGCAGGCCATCCTCTTCCTGCAGCAGCTCCTGGATTTCCAGGAGACGGCAGGTGCCATGCTGGCCTCCCAAGGTACTTGGCGCCTCCCCGCAGGGACCCTTGCCCTGTGTCCCCCTCCTCCCTCTTGCCTGGAGACATGCAATAGGCCCCCGTGGGGGCACTGGCCACCTCTGGTGAGATTTCCTCCAGCCCTGTGGAGTGGGACGGAGATGTGGCCTGCGGCAGGACCCCTGAGCTGGTCGGCCCTCCGTGGCTGAGCATCAGGGGCACGGAGTTTGACTGCCTTTCCTGACCTGACTCCATCCCCTTGGCTCCCTCTGGAGAGCGCTCACTCGTTTGCAGGTGCCCTTCCTGCCCCCCATCCACATTTCTCCAGCTCCTCTTGTGTTCGCCTGTCCTACTAATGAGTCTCACACGGCTAACCCTTTTGGGTGGCTGGCATCTCAGGCCAGCCTGGTGTCTTCCCAAGGCTGGCCCTTGAGGAGGCACACATTTCCGTATCGTTTCTGGTGCTGAGACCCAGCCCAGCTTGTCGGGGCCCTGTGTCCTCACTGCTGCCCCCATTTGGGGCTGAGGAGCCCAGGGGCAGCCTCTGGTCTGCAGTTCTTCAGGTCTCCACGTTCCTATGTGTTCCCGGGACTTCAGCGGGGCCGGCGGGTGTGTCCTGCTGTCTGTGCTCTGGCTGTCATGGGGAGTGGGCTGCTTGACTCAAATGACACTGCCGTTTCTAACCTGTTTTTGCACTTTGCGTCTTTCTCCTATCTTTGTCTCTCCCTCCTCCCCCTCTGTGCGCACTGCCTTTCACTCCGTAGTTCTTGGGGACACATACAATATCCCTTTAGACCCCAGAGGTAAGCGGCAGCACTCTCAGCCTCATCCTCCCCCTTGGGTGAGGTTCCCTGGGGACAGAGGCACTGGGACAGACTCAGCACCTGTTGGGGAGTGGGGGTCCGCGGGGAAATGTGTTCCTTCAGGGTGCTCCCGGCTCTCTGAGCGTCCCGCACGACCACTTTCTGTCTCTGAGCTTATCCAGGCGGCACCCTGCTGTCTCCAGCACCCTGAGGACACCCTCCAGGCTAGCCCAGCACTTTCCCTCCCCACTTGGCCTTCCACTCTGTATAGGCTGCACGTCCCCTCAATCCAGCTGGGGCCAGTAGAGCAGGCGGTGGGAGGAGGGGCGGGTTGGCCACGGGAGCCCATTCTGACTCTGCTGCTGCCAAACGGGGTAGATGGGCCTTGCAGAGACTACCGAGCACGGAGGGCGTCCCACTCCTGTCCTGCCAGCCTTCCTGGTGATCATGGCCTCCCCGTTACCACAGAGGGGCTTGCCCGCGTCCCGAAGGTGTCCAGGGGAACACGCCCTGCAGCCAGCCGGCAGCCCTGCTCCCAGCACCTTCTGGGCGCCTCCCCGCCTTCCCTCAGTTGTTCCTTGGGCTGAGGGAGGGCCGGAGAGGGTCTTGGCAGCTGCCGCTGCCGCTGCCGCGACAACTCTTGTCCTCTCGCAGAGACCAGCTCTTCAGCCACCAGCTACAGCTCCGAGTTCAGCAAGCGCCTCCTGAGCACCTATATCTGTGAGTGCCGCCAGCCGGCCGCAGCCGCCGGGCCCTGCCCCCGCCTCGCCCTTCCCTCCTCTTTGGCGTCCTCCTGCTGTTCCAGGTCGTGCCTCTGGGCCCCCCACCTTTCAAATTACAACCTAACCTCTGGTTCAGGGGCTGAGGGGGGCCCGGCAAAGGGCTGCCGAGGCTTGTGGGGTCTGGACTTGGGGAGGGACAAGGAGCGGCCGGAAGGACTTGGCTTGTGGGTCCTGGGGTTGGGTCATTTTGGTCAAACTGCCCTGTGGGCATGGCCACCTCCTTCCCTGTGCAGGTAAAGTGCTGGGGAACCTGCAGTTGAACTTGCTGAGCAAGTCCAAGGTGTACGAGGACCCGGCTCTGAGCGCCATCTTTCTGCACAACAACTACAACTACATCCTCAAGGCCCTGGAGAAGTAAGCGCCTTCACCCACCCTCCCTCCCGGGGCTGGCTAGACCCTCCGCATGGCCAGTGGCGAGTGTTTTACTCTTTGACGTCCTGGAACCCAGGCAGGCATGCGTGCTGCCTTAGAGCTCCGAAAGGGCAGGGTGGGGTGGGCAGGCCCCAGTGGGGCTGCTGCCAAGGCCTGCGGCCTCCTCTGCTCTCTCCCCGCCCGCCACCCCCAGGTCCGAGCTGATCCAGCTGGTGGCTGTGACCCAGAAGACTGCCGAGCGCTCCTACCGGGAGCACATCGAGCAGCAGATCCAGACCTACCAGCGCAGGTGAGAGGCGGGGCCCCTCCCTCACCCCACCGCTGCACCCGCCATGCTTCCTTCTCAGAGTCTCCGGACGCTCGGCCCAGTTGGAGTCAATCACGCACAAATGTTGCCCTGTGGAGCCCAGTCTTGCGCTTGTTTTCTGATCACGTCTATGGGTGGACATGGAAGCCCCCTTCCCTACCACTGCTCGCTCCCTCGGGCCCACTATGCCGGCCTTTTCAGAGGGTAGGCCACCTGTCAAGGTGAAGCTAAGACTAGTTGGAGGGCTGACTGTCTAAGATGTGGGTAACATTTGGCCCAAGCAAACAGCAAAGTTGCAGGAGCACTCGAGCTTGGCTGAGCCTCTCCGGGCCATGCTCCCTCTTCTTCTGGGTCTGTGTCGCTCTCTCGCTTCGTGCTTCTTCCCCTGAATGTGAGTCTCCCTCTCCTCTCCTGCTCATCTGCCCTGTGCCTCTCCTCTCCTGCTCATCTGCTTCTCCATGTTATTCTGCCGTATTGATGTAACACGTAGTTTCACGTCATTTATTTCACATCAATTATTGAATGCTGTTTCCTGTTCTTATTTTTAAAAGCGAGTGGCTTGAGCATTTTCTATTCCCAAGGAAAAATCTCAGTTGTGTTTTGCTGAGTTGTGACCCAGAAAGATTCCTGCCCTCCCCCCACTCCCACCCCCAGTAGATCAAGAGATTTAAAAAACAGAACAAAGCAGCCCCAGGAAGAAGCAGCTGCCTGAGTCTGTTGCCCTCTGCCCTCTGCTTCTGTCCCTCCTGGCAGTTGGTTAAAGGTGACTGACTACATCGCTGAGAAGAATCTACCCGTATTCCAACCGGGAGTCAAGGTGGGCTGAAGGCCTGGGCTGGGAGGGGCTGTCTGGCAGACGTGGTAGTTTTTGTCACGTCTTTGGGAAAAATGGACAGAAGTCCCTTGGGGGTGAGAGAGCCGAGGATGCTGTGGCCGTCAGAGCAGCAGCAGAGGGCTGGGCTGGGGCATTTAGGGCAGGAGCAGGGCCGGCGCTTCTGCTCTGAGGCAAGCTTTCTTGGCCCCCAGCTCCGGGACAAGGAGCGGCAGATGATCAAGGAGCGCTTTAAGGTGAGCTGGGATCCCGCCCCCTCCACTGCTCGCTGCTCCTGTTGTAGCAACAGAAACCCAAGCGTTTGTCTCCGGGTGGCTTCTCGTTGGTGGCCAGGGCTTCAACGATGGCCTTGAAGAGCTGTGCAAGACCCAGAAGGCCTGGGCTATCCCCGACACAGAGCAGAGGGACAAGATCCGCCAAGCCCAGAAGCACATTGTCAAGGAGACCTACGGGGCCTTTCTGCGCAGGTGAGCCCCACGCGCCCCGCTCCCCAGCCGCGCCTCTGTGCGCTCCCAGAAAACATGGAGGGGTGCTGGGTTCAGGAGGCCGATCAGTGCCCTGGGCTTTGGTGTGGGACCAGGCAGCGACAGCCCTCAGGGACAGCCCGTCAGGAGGGCCTGAGATGACGTGCAGCAGGGGTGGGGCCAGGCGTCCCCCTGACCTCAGTGCCTCTCAGGTACAGCAGCGTGCCCTTCACCAAGAACCCTGAGAAGTACATCAAGTACCGCGTGGAGCAGGTGGGCGACATGATCGATCGCCTCTTTGACACCTCCGCCTGAGCCTGGTTACACAGACCAGCCATCTTATCGGACACACAAACCAGTGTTAACCTGCCTCTGTTCCGGGTGATCTCAACATCCTTTGGGACAGGGACGTTTCTTCACCACCCAGGCTGGTAGCCCTGTCCCTGGACCCGTGAGTCCTGGCTTGTGCTTCTTCCTGCAGCCCCCGTTCCCCACCAAACCAGTACTGTCTTGGGCGCTGGGCTCTGTGTCCCTGACTGTAGCCTGCAGGGGCCACGTGATGGCTTCAAGACAGGAAAGGACAGAGAAGGAAAACAAAGGCTTGTGCCCTCAGCCGCCACGTATGCACAAGAGCAGTGGGCACAACAGCCCCTCCACCAGCCCAGTTCAGAACTGGGGATGCAGCACTTCCTCTTCAGCCCAGACGTGTGTGTGGGCTCAGAGGAGCCAGAGAGCCCGGCGAGAAAGCAAGCAGGAGCGACCTGCTCTCGGGTTTAGTGCAGAAAACTCATTCCCCATCACCCACATCCTGAGGGCTGGGGGTGTTCTGTCCCCCGGGCTGCAGCAGGAGTGCTCCCTCTCCATGCCCTCTGGGGTCTAACACACCTCAAGGGTTCAGAGGCGTTCCGACCGCCCTCTGCGGCCTGGCTTTTGAGCCCCTGTCTCCTGGTCCCCAGTGCTCCTGGCCTAGGGCCAAGCAGCAGTAGTTGCATAAGGAGCAGTTAGGCTGCTTAGGGCGGCGGGGGGTGGTTGAGGGGTGTGAGGTGGGGCCCCACCTACATAAGACAAAAGTAAACAGCTGAGCTCAATAAAGACGGACCCTTGTGGTGGTACACTTGCACTTGGGTGATGGGTTTATTTCACACTCTGCTTGTACGCTGGGTGGCCTGGGGCTCTCCAGGCTTAGGGAAGAGAGTCGACCTCCCTCTCCCCATCTCCAGAGACCCTGGCATGGCCCTTCCCCGGGTCTGCAGCCCAGGTCATGCCCTTTACAGCCTGGGCTGCCCGCCATGGGGTGCAGCCTTGCCAGGGGCCGGGTCAGACTTGCATGTCGCCCACATCCAGAGTCCAGCGAACACGAACTGGCTACACACCACCCCCGCCACATACACCAGGAAAAAGGTGTGGTCAGCAGCCTCAACCCAGCTGCTCCAGGACCCCTTTGTTTCTAGGGGGGAGAGGCAGGAAAAAGCAGCCACCCTTCAGGGCATACCCTCCACGCTCCACCAGAACAGAAGGGTGAATCCCAGGGGCTGTCAGCTGTATTTCTCCCTTCCTGAGATCCACAGCTAGGGAATATTTGAGTCTGGCCCATTCTAGGCCATCTTGAATTGAAGAAAGACCCTCCTAGAGAGGCACAGGGTTATCTCAGGGAGCTGGAACTCACCCAGGCCTTCAGGGAGGCTAACGCTGCTCCCTGCTCCAGACCTGCGTCTTCTAAGGGCTGATGTGCTAGAGCCCAGGGGCAGTGGGGCCCACAGAGGAATGCCAGGAGCCTCTCAATAGCCCAGCAACCCCCGACCCCAGCCCCAGGTGTGCAGCCTGCAGCTCTGCGCCTGTCAAACCTGCTCTTAGCCTCATTCCCCCCCCCCCC